ACTAACACAATAAATAATTTGGTATGTCTCTGACAGGAATTAGGTATCAAAAAATTATATATGAGAAAACTGAGAATGTTCTAAAATTGTGCAATGATAGATCAGATCAAAATAGCCCCCAGAGTTTTGCTTTCTCTTGCTGATCTTTCGGCTATTGATATATTTTAACGCCTTGTGGAGAACACCTGGATAGTCCTTTTTTTTTTTTTTTTTTTTTGAGATGGAGTTTCGCTTTTGTTGCCCAAGTTGGAGTACAATGGCACCATGATCTTGGCTCACTGCAACCTCTGCGTTCTGGGTTCAAGCGATTCTCTTGCCTCAGTCTCCTGAGTAACTGAGATTACAGGCATGCGCCACCACGCCCAGCTAGTTTTGTATTTTTAGTAGAGGCGGAGTTTCTCCATGTTGGTTAGGCTGGTTGTAAACTCCCGACCTGAGGTGATAGCCTGCCTCGGCCTCTCAGAGTGCTTGGATTACAGGCGTAAGCCACTGCGCCTGACCAGATGGTACTTTTTTAAAAGAAAAATCATACTGGGCAATTAAATATAATAAAACCAATCCAGACATAGTATCGTGTGAAAAAAAACTGCTTTAACAGACTTTTCTAAAAACACACATGAAGAGGTCCTGGAATGGAAGCTTTCTTTTCTTTGAGACGGAGTCTCACTCTGTCGCCCAGGCTGGAGTGCAGTGGCGCTATCTGGGCTCACTGCAAGCTCTGCCTCCCGGGTTCCCGTCACTCTCCTGCCTCAGCCTCCTGGGTAGCTGGGACTACAGGCACCCGCCCAAGCCCTGCTGATTTTTTTGTACTTTTAGTAGAGTGAGGGTTTCACCGTGTTAGCCAGGATGGTCTCGATCTGCTGACCTGGTGATCCACCCGCCTTGCCTCCCAAAGTGCTGTGATTACAGGCGTAAGCCACCACGCCCAGCCAAAACTTTTGATTCCATACTATTATTTTGCTTGACATTTTAAGAAGAATGCAGAAGTTGTACAACTTCTAAAATTCTTAAGTTTTAATTTTTTTTTAAGTTAAAATAAAGGAAAGGAAAAAAGAGATAAGGAAAGAAACTAAAGTCTCTCTGTAGCAGATCTGACTACATGTTCATAACAGAACCAAGACATTTCTTTTTTTTTTTTTAAGACAGGGTCTCACTGTGTTGCCCAGCCTGGAGTACCATCTCAGCTTCCTGCAACCTCAACCTCCCAGGCTTGAGTGATACTTTCACCTCAAGGAACTGGGACCACAGGGTGTGCCACCACACTCAAGCTAATTTTTTTGGTGGTTTGTTTGTTTTGTAGAGATAGGGGTTTCACCATGTTGTCCAGGCTGATCCGGAACACCTGGAATCAAAAGCAATCCTCCCGCAACAGCCTCCCAAAGTGCTGGGATTGCAGCGTGAGTCACCATACCTGGCCATTTCTGAAACAATTCATTCACTATGTGATCATGCCAGATTTTTTCCTAATATCTAAATAACACAGAAACTCTTTTAATCTAACACATATGAACAAATATTTATAATAGTCCCATTTTTTACTGTAAATTTCCATTTAATGTATATTCTTATACAAAAGTCCTGGTGAAAATTAGGATCCGTGGCTCTGCACCTAAGCTGGGGATGAATGGAAAGAGTTCACGATGGGAGGCCTGGGGCCCTGCCCACCGGACGACAGCACTATCTCTACTAGCAGTGGTTCCAACCTTCTGATAAACACTGGCCTGCTGTCACTTCCCTGCAACGCATCCGCCCCTGGATTCTCCCCCTGGGAGTCAAAGTCCATAGCCTGACCTCGGAGGAAGGCCTCTGTATCACCCCAGTACCCTGCACCACTATCATACGAGCTTCCCATCCTTCCTAACACGTTCACACTAATCCGTACATGCTGCTTCCCCCACCAAGAATGCCCAATTCAGGCAGACCCTGACCTCTCCCTCAGGCAGTCCAACCACCCAGAATGAATGTTCTAGCAGAGTTTTCCAAACATCAGTCATTCACCCCTTTCATGATTTTCACCATAGCTACAAAATAGCACCATGATGGGCTGCATGCTGCCTGTGCCACCATTTACTTAATGTTTTCTTTAAATGACTCACTTTTGTGTATAAATAAATTCATTTCAAAAGAAAGAAAATAGTTTCAAATGTTCAAATGCCATGTGAATTTCAAAGAAAAAAAAACTGTTCTAAAAAAATTGCATTTTCTAAATTGTACACCAAATTTATTTAAATCATAAAATAGCAAAACACTCTTAAATAAATACTTATTTTAAAAAGTAGTTATAAAGCAGCAAAATAAACTACTCAAAGGCACTTATGCACAATGCGGTTTTAAATCTTTGAGTTAAGAATACACTTAAAAGTAACGGGTACGCAGAGCTTTATTTTGCTTTTCTGTTTTTATGTATGTTTGAATATTCTCATAGTTTAAAAATGTTTTTAAAAATGTACTTCACAAGGTTAATGCTTCTTATTATCACCAGTAGAGAGCATATGATTGCTATAATTATATATTACTTATTAGTATTTCACTATTGGTATATATTTTATACACAACACATAATAGTTTCCATTCCTGGAAACCAACTATGCACAAAATGCTTCATAGTCACTGCTTGACATAACAACCTTATGAGGTTAGTGGTTTTAATATTGTCATTATATAGATGAAGAAACAGCAACTCTTAGAAATTAAGCAAATTGTTTGAGATCACAAATTTAGAAAATAGGAAATTAGTGCTTTAAACTCATGTGTATATGACTCCAAAGTCTATGTTATTCACTTCTACACTACTCTGTTTCACAAAAAGTATGGCTTGTTTTGAATGTTCTCTACCATTACTTTGAAACTTACTCTCTTTCACTGATAATCATAGTGTGACCTAGAGTCAGTCATTTATCCTCTAGGTCCACCACTTGTGCCATATTTTTAATGTGGGAAACTTTGATTTTGAATCAGTTGAACCAAAATAATTTGAAATGGTTGGACCAAAGCTCAGATGAGTTTGCAGATCATCTTACGTTAGAGTGTTTATAGAAATTTCTGAAATAGGTACTACACAGATGAAACCAACTCAGATCTGTCAAAATTACTCTAAATTATTGAGATCTAAGTAATTATGTTTTATCAAAATTGTTAAGTACAGAATCACTTCATAGAAGAAACAGTCAATTAACAGATTACTAAGGTGAAAAATAAATGAAGTTTAAGAACGTTAGTTAGATTTGTTCATTTAACAAATATGTATTGAGTTAAAATTCAAGACACTGCAAGTATAGAGGAAAAAAAGAGTATTCTTTCTCTGGAAGCTTACCATCCAAAAGCGAGAAAGACTTGAAATGAATTACTCCATTATATTGCTCAAGCATACCATAGAAACACCATAGAAAAAGTGGCAACAGAAGGTACCATAGAAGTAGCAGTGGCACCAGGGATACCATAGAAAAAGTGGCACCAGAAGCCTGCTTTGGAAGTCAGGGAGGCGTCACAGGACACAGAGAGTTAAATTAAGACACAGAGGGTAAATAAAACCATGTCGCATTTTCAGGGTCAATATTAACAATAGCCAATTTTTACTAAACATTCAAATCTACACATTTTTTGAAACACTGTGGTGATTCCTTAAAAAATTAAACATAGAATTATCATATGATTTAACAATTTCATCTAAGTATATTCCCAGAGGATCTGAAAGCAGATAAAGAACAAATATTTGTATACCCATGTTCATAGCAGCAATAGCCAAAATGAGAAAACAGCCCAAGGTCCCACAGGTGGGCAGATACCTGTGGATAGACAAAATGTCGTATATACATACAACTGAATATTATTCAGCCTTAAAAAGGAAGGAAACTCTGACACATTCTATAAGATAAATTAATGTTAGTCATATTTTACTAAGTGAAATAAGTCAGTGGTAAAAGGACAAATATCTGGTTCCACTTACTCTAGGTACTCTAGGTACCCAGAGTAGTCACATTCAGAGACATAGAGTAGATTTGTGGTTGCCATGGAGGGGGGAAATATCGTATTTCAAAGTATTTATAGGAACTTCTAAAATAGGTGTACAAAGGGACTGGCGAGTTAGAGTTGAATGGATACAGAGTTTCAGTTGGAGAAGATGAACAGGTTCTAGAGATGGATGATGCCAATGGTTGTGCAACAATGTGAAAGTACTTAGTACTGTGGACTATACAAGTAAAAATGATCAAAATGGTAAACTTTACGTTGTGTATATTTTGCCACAATTTAAAAACTGTATACTTTTTTCTAAAACACAGACTTTACACTCATTTTTTTATATTTGAATTACCTTCAGTATAAAATATTGCTCTAGGAGGCAGAAAAAGACTGAAACCTCAATTTAGAGTGGATAAATCAGGAAAAATAATTAATGGGTCAACAACTATTCATTGAATACCTTCTGGATAGATGGACTTCTCATTATTCCTATGAATTTAAGCATGTTCAATTGGATATAAAAATGCAATAGGAAAACTGACATTTCTTTCTCAAAAGTTAGGAGTTGCCAAGACAAACGGTTTCACCGTATTTGAAATAAAATGAGGTCAAAATTCATTTTCAAATGAGAAAAAAGTGCATTTTTCATTGTTTATGGCCTAAAAACAACTAACAAAAGTGTCACCCTTGGATTAATTACAAGGGATAAAAATTTATGCTCTGGAAAGTAATATTTTCAAAAAGTCAGAGGTGACCAAAAGCAGTGTGTAATAACCAAAAAATTTAATCATAGCTGATATATTAAAATATTTATGATAGCAATCAGAGTTCACTTAGTTCAAACAAGTTCAGCAGGCACAGAGCACAAAGAAAGAAACAAGAGAGAACAGGTTTTGAAATTCTAAAAGCAAATCTTTGAGTCATTTGTATAATTTAAGTTTCCAGTTACTACAGATTTTACTGTCTGCCCATATTTTTTCTATTCCCAATAGCATAAACAACATTATTTTTCAGTTATAATGAAAGTTGACTCTACTTACTCCTGATGGAAATATCTGAATAATATTTCCAGCTATGTCTAGGATTCTTAGTTTTTTAAGATCACAAAGTTCCTGTGTCAGAAAACAGAAGAGATTTTTTTAATCTAATATTCAAAATCATAAGGAAAATCATAAATTTTTTTAAAGCTCCAACATGACGAAGGCAGCCGTCTTTCTAATCACTGTACCGACCAATTCTTCAGTACATCTTCCCAAGCAGATCCCCATATCCTGGACTGCCAGATATCTTTGAATTCTTCATTTCCTCTGACCACTCTGGGGCAACGTAACATAGCCACTGTGAGTTACACTACTTCTAGATTCAAATCTCACCTCTGGCAGGTACTATAACTATGGGCAAATTTCTTAATTTCTTTGTACTTCAATTTCTTCATTTGTAAAATGAAAATGCTAATAGAAGCCCTTAAGTCATATGGTTGTTGAATTAATTGAGTTACGAATCTGAAAGTGCTTACTAAAGGCCTACTATGTAGTGAGCACTCAGTAGACATTGTCAATTATTAAAAATAGAAAGACGTTGAGAAACAGAAAACAGATGTAATCCTAGAGTATTGTCTCTATTAAAAATTCCACCAGGATTTATTAAGCATCTACCTTTTACTTAGCCCTGTGCTAACACAACCCTTTCCTTATAAAAGAAAGAAGATCTGTTACCGCCTCTACTACATGCCAAATGTGACTGCTCATTACCATAGTAACCACACGGTTGTCATAATGCATCTGGGTTCTGGTGTTTCTACTAGCAAGCAAAGGATAAGTATTATTTCTTTTTAAGTGGAAACATTAAAAAAAAAAAAACTTAAAAATTGAAAAATAGAAGTATGACTTACTAAACAGTCCCAACCACTTATAGTGATATTTCTAAAACGTCACTCATATATTGATGATCATACCTCTCCCTAGGGAGACGATATGCCTCTTTAGTCATGCCAGTACTCTTCCTCTTCAGTTTTGTCACATGTTATCTCAGGTTTCATTCTCTGGAAGCAGATGCTGAGATGGAATTTGGGGTGCTAAATGTTTATTAGGGATCACCCCTGTAAAAGGCAGGGTCAGGAAGCAGGACTGAGCAGATGGGGAAGTTGAGGTGGGATTCAGACACAATAGAATCTTGTTTAGGTGGGTGGGGAGCTCCAGAGGGCTGTTGCCCATCCAAATTCTTCTCTATCAGGCAGAAATGGCCAAGCCTTTATATCGCTCCCTTGTTAGGTCACAAGATGCAGAATGCTTTAGGAAGAGCATGACCTTGGGCAAGAAAAGAGGCTCTCTGCAGCTAAGGCAGACCCTGAAAGAGCTAACAGCTAGAGGCTGTCTGCAATCCCCTTCCCTACAGCTAGGCAGCAAATCCTTGAAGGGAGTTCTCTTCTTAAGTCCTACATAATCTTCCATTGCCATGATACTCTCCTTTGTATTGTATTAGCTGCAGAGATTTTCAGACTCCAATGTGTTCCTTCAGTATCTCATGTTATAAGGGTTTCCCACCCTACTTGAAAACACTTCATAGCATTACTTCCATTGCTGTCGACTCTTTCATTTTCATTTGTTCATTTTTGCTGCCATGACTGCCACTATTATTGCTGTTGATATTTGTTGCTGCCTTGTTCTAATCTTTGCATGTGTATACCCCTCACGAGTATTCAATGAAGGTTTAAAAACTCACAAATAGGCAAGGGCAAAGTTGTGCTATGAGAATGAGAAGTGTTACGAAGGGTTAAGGAAACAGTGACATGTGGAAAATTTGGTATTAGGAGGTCAGGAAAGGCTTCCTGGAAAAAGTGAAGTTTAAGCTGAGATTCTTTGAGTTCTTTGGAACAAATGATGTTCCATTAAGAGTAAACAGTTGTTTGGGATAGAACTACAAGAAGTCTAGTGTGATGGTTAATTTTAGGTGCCAACTTGGCTGGATTAAGGAATACCTAGAATGCTGGTAAAGCTTTATTTTGGGTGTGTCTGTGTGAGGTTGTTTCTAGAAGAGATGGGTGTGTGAGTCAGTAGAAGGAGTAGGAAAGATATATCTTCAGTATTGCTGGGCACCATCCTGTCAGTTAGTGACTTCGATGAAAAAAAGTGATTTCCTCTCTCTTCTGGAGCTGGGACACTTCTTCTTCTGCCCTTGGACCTCAGAACTCTGGGCTCTCCAGCCTTTAGACTCTAAGATTTATACCAGTACCCTTCCCCTCCAGCCACCACCTCCGGTAATCAGGCCTTTGACCTCCAACTGAGAATTACACAGTTGGCTTCCCTGGTTCTGAGGCTTTCAGAGTTGGACTCAGTCACACTACCAGCACTCCAGGGTCTTCAGCTTGCAGATAGCCTGCTGTAGGACTTCTCAGTCTCCATAATTATGTGTGCCAATTCCCCTAATAAATCCCCTGTTATCTATCCAGTTATCTGTCTATCTATCTATCTACCCATGTAAGTATGTTATTAGTTCATTAGTTGTGGCCTTCCAGAAAGGCACACAGCCAACCCACAATTCAAGTAGTTGAATACCATCAACTACTCGCTATCCTCCTGCCCTGTCACTTCCTGCTAGTGCCTCTCATCTGCCATATCCAAGAGGAAACCAGAAGACAAAGGAGTTCACTGCTGCCCACACAGGTCAGTCTCCCAAGCAGAAGGCAGGACAGAGAGTGAATATGAAGGAGAAAAGGAGGAGAGCCAGTACACATTCCAAAGCCAAAATGAACTTGTATTTTGTTCTGTATACATGGTTACCAGATAAAATATATAATGCTCACTTAAATTGAAATATCAAGGCTTGGCACGGTGGCTCACGCCTATAATCCCAGCACTTTGGGATGCCAAGGCGGGCAGATCACGAGGTCAGGAGTTTGAGACCAGCCTGACCAACATGGTGAAGACCCGTCTCTATTAAATTACAAAAATTAGCTGGGCGTGGTGGTGTCTTCCTGTAATCCCAGCTACTCAGGAGGCTGAGGCAGGAGAATCACTTGAACCTGGGATGTGGAGGTTGCAATGAGCCGAGATCGTACCACTGCACTCTAGCCTAGGCAACAGAACGAGACTCTGTCTCAAAAAAAAAAAAAGAAAAGAAATACCAGACAAACAATAAATACGTTTTTTAGTCTATTCTATGAAATATTTGCAACATACTTATAGCAAAAAAATTTAATCATTGCTTGTCTGGAATTCAAATTTCAGTGAGCATTCTATATTTGTATTTACTAAATCTGGCAGCCCTAGCTATGTGGGATAATTCAAATTATAGCCTTCCTCTGTCATAGGGATTTGGGAACTGACTACATTTAATCTGAGGGAAAGCAAGTGATGGCTTATACTCAGATACCCAAATCTAATCTATAACCACCTCCCATCATGTTGAGTTCTTCTCCAACAACAAAGTGGTATGGCTCCATGTTTTGCTCACCTCTGGCAAAACTCCAATGTTGTTTCTGGCTAGCAAAAATTTCTGAAGCTTCTTCAAGAACTTAATCTCTTCAGGTATGCATATCAGCTGATTGTAGTTAAGTTGAAGTTCAACAAGATTCTTAAGAAAACAAAGTTCTCTAGGAATGCTGACTAGTTGGTTATAATTTATACTCATGTAAGTAAGACTTTTTAATCTAAAAAAAAAAACACCAAAGTATATGAATGAAACTCACAAGAATAACAGAGTCCACTATATAGGCCCAACTTAGCAGAAGCCATGTGTAAGTTTATTTTTTGTAGCTCATCTGAGCTTTCTTCAGTCAAGTGTTTACAACTATTGTGAATCATAAGTATAAAAAGTTTTTGCTGAAATTTCATTTTTAAAGACCTTTTGTAATCAGATGGCTTATGTTAAAAGTATGTTAGGTAATCAAAACCTAGATTTAAGAAAAAGAAAATTCTATTTCCTTCCTTTATACATATACATTTCTCATATCCAAGAGAAAGCTAGAGGACAAGGAGAACATGGACACACCTATGTATACAGATCGATACAGGTACAGGCATAAGCATACGTAGACATAAATATACCTAGTACCAAATAGATATGAGTACTGCTCAATTGCTGTGGAAGTTCAAAGATGAATCAGCCACAAATTCTGCCCTTTTGGATGTCATGGTTTAGAAGGAGATATTAAATAGAGCCATAAACTGAGAACAGCAAATACCATTGGCTAAGGAGAAAAAGGTTAAGGAAATTTGATTCTGTAATTGCAGATATGGTTTCTGAAGCATATTGCAAGTTTTTCTAAAGAATTGACATTTTGAATTTGGCCCTGAATAAAAGAACTTATAAAATAGGGCAATAAGAGAGAATAGTAAGCTAAGAAAAAATATTATGAATAAGGAAGCAGAAGGCAATTAACATTACTAAGCACAACTACATGCCTGTGCATTAAATTTAATCATCAACAAAACTCTGAGGTTGGAATTACTACTCTTATTTTAAAAGTGAGGAAAATAAAGCATTCTTAGAGGCAGTAAATAAATTTCCCAAGTTACCTATCTGGTAGGTAACAATGTCAAAATTCTAATGCAGGTGTGTCTGTTTGAAAAGCTAAGAGTGAAAACATGTAATGATCTCAAGGTTGAAGTGTGTTAAGATTGAAGTAATGTAAGAATGAGGGAACTAAATTTTTAGGCAGTTGAAAATGGGAGACTGGAGGTTAGGAAGTCATCAGTGCTAGCAAAGGGAATTCTGAGGATTCTATAGATTTCTCGATACACAGTAGAAGCCATATGAATACATGGGACTGACAGGAAAAACAAAAGAAAATGGGCAGAGAGAAAAGAAAGGAAGCCAATAGAAAGATTCTTGAGAAATATAAACAACTGACCATTAAAAATTAAAGGCACCCAGCAAAGTTATGACCAGAGAAGTAGAAGAAGAACCAGATTAGCAAGGAATCTCTGAAGGTGTGAGAGAAGAAAATTTCAAAATTGAAGAGATGGTCAAAAGTTTAAATGTTAAAGAGTGATAATCCAAACTAACAAACAAAACTAGTAGAACTAACACAGAGTCACAAACTACCAAGTCAATATTTTAAAAATCTATTGTATCTCCATATTGTAGCCACAAACAATTAGAAAATAAAAGTTTAAGATTTCCATTTATAGTAATGTATAAAAAACCCTTCATGAAATAGTTAAGAGTACATATAACAAAAGACATGAGGGACCTCTACACTGAAAACTATAAATCATGACTGAGAGAATGTAAAGGGGCTCTAAATGAAAGTAGAGATACATTATATTCAAGAATAGAAAAGAAAAATATTGCTAAGATATCAACTTTTTAATATTGATCTAAAGATTCAATAATAGATCCAAATAAAAATTTTGACAGCTTTTTTTGTGTAAGACTTGACTCGGGCTGGGTGCTGTGGCTCATGGCTGTAAACCCATAACTTTGGGAGGTGAAGGTGGAAGGATTGCTTGAGCCCAGGAGTTTAAGACCAGCCTGGGAAACATAGTGAGACCCCACGTTAAAAAAAAAAAAAAAAGACAAATCAATTTTAAAATGTATATGGAAATTCAAAGGGCTTAGAATAGCCAAACTATTATAAAGAATAAAATCAAAAGACTCACATTACCTTATTTCAAAACTTACAATGCAGCTGCAGCAATCAAGATAGTATGGTATTAGAGAAATGATAGTGCTATGGTCTGAATATTTGTGTCTCTTCAAAATTCATATGTTAAAATATAATCTCCACTGTGATGGTATTACGAGACGGGGCCTTTGGGAGATGATTAGGTCATGATGAGGGGGTAAACCTCATAAATGTAATTAATGTCCTCAAAAAAGGCCCCAGAGAACTCCTTGTCCCTTCTACCATGTGAGGACACAGTGAGAAAGGTGGCACTCTATGAACCAGGAAGTACACCCTCACCAGACATCACATCTGCCAGCACCTTGATCTTCACTTCCCAACTTCCAGAACTATGAGAAATAAATTTCCATTTTACTCCTAGAAATTTAAACGAAAATGAAATTAAACATGTTTACAAAAAGATGTGTACAATAATGTTTATTGTAACTTAATTCATAATAGCCCTAAACTGGAAAAAACCCAAGTATACATCAATAGGAGAAAAGACGAATAATTTAGGGCCTATTCCGGCAATGAAATGCTACTCAGAATAAACAAAAACTACCAGGCATGGTGGCTCATGCTTGTAATCCCAACACTGGTAGGCCGAGGCAGGCAGATCACTTGAGGTCAGGAGTTCGAGACCAGCCGAGCTGATATGGTGAAACCCCATCACTACTAAAAATACAAAAATTAGCTGGGTGTGGTGGCAGGCACCTGTAATACCAGCTACTCAGGAGGCTGAGGCAGGAGAATCACTTGAACCTAGGAGGCAGAGATTGCAGTGAGCTGAGATCGCTTCATTGCACTCCATCCTGGGTGAGTAGGGCCAGACTCTGTCTCAAAAAAATAAATAAACAACAACAAAAAAAACCCAATGAACTATTAATAAATGCAACAGTTATGTGAGTCTCAAAAAATGTGCTAAGCAAAAGAAGACAGACACAAAAACGTATATACTATATGATTCCATTTATTTAGTTCTAGGAATGGTAAAACTAATTTATAAAGAAGACAGAAATCAGAATATTGATTGCTTATGAGAGGTAAGAATTCACTGGAAGGGTGCATGAGGAAATTTCTGGGCTGAAGAAAATGTTTTACATGTTATTGGTGTGTGTACATTTGCCAAAATGCATTGAATAGTTTTATGTAATTTTTATTCAGCAGAAAAAAAAGGTCATTATATTTGACTATGTAAAGGACAGTAACGACTTTTGAAAATGATCTACGGTAGGATGGAGAAGACAGTTTTGGTTACTGTAGCCTTGCAGTATAGTTTGAAGTCAGGTAGCATGATGCCTCCAGCTTTGTTCTTTTGGCTTAGGATTGTCTTGGCAATGTGGGCTCTTTTTTGGTTCCATATGAACTTTAAAGTAGTTTTTTCCAATTCTGTGAAGAAAGTCGTTGGTAGCTTAATGGAGATGGCACCAAAACAGAGATATAAACCAATGGAACAGAACAGAGCCCTCAGAAATAATACCACACATCTACAACCATCTGATCTTTGACAAACTTGACAAAAACAAGAAATGGGGAAAGAATTCCCTGTTTAATAAATGGTACTGGGAAAACTGGCTAGCCATATGTAAAAAGCTGAAACTGGATCGCTTCCTTACACCTTATACAAAAATTAATTCAAGATGGATTAGAGACTTAAATGTTAGACCTAAAACCATAAAAACCCTAGAAGAAAACCTAGGCAATACCATTGACATAGGCATGGGCAAGGACTTCATGTCTAAAACACCAAAAGCAATGGCAACAAAAGCCAAAATTGACAAATGGGATCTAATTAAACTAAAGAGCTTCTGCACAGCAAAAGAAACTACCATCAGAGTGAACAGGCAACCTACAGAATGGGAGAAAATTTTTGCAATCTACTCATCTGACAAAGGGCTAATATCCAGAACCTACAAAGAACTCAGACAAATTTACAAGAAAAAAACAACCCCACCAAAAAGTGGGCGAAGGATATGAACAGACACTTCTCAAAAGAAGACATTTATGCAGCCAACAGACACATGAAAAAAAGCTCATCATCACTCGCCATCAGAGAAATACAAATCAAAACCACAATGAGACACCATCTCACACCAGTTAGCATGGCGATCATTAAAAAGTCAGGAAACAACAGGTGCTGGAGAGGATGTGGAGAAATAGGAAAACTTTTACAGTGTTGGTGGGACTGTAAACTAGTTCAGCCATTGTGGAAGACAGTGTGGCAATTCCTCAAGGATCTAGAACTAGAAATACCATTTGAACCAGCCATCCCATTACTGGGTATATACCCAAAGGATTATAAATCATGCTGCTATAAAGACACATGCACATGTATGTTTATTGCAGCACTATTCACAATAGCAAAGACTTGGAACTAACCCAAATGTCCATCAATGACAGACTGCATTAAGAAAATGTGGCACATATACACCATGGAATACTATGCAGCCATAAAAAGGATAAGTTCATGTCTTTTGTAGGGACATGGATGCAGCTGGAAACCATCATTCTCCACAAACTATTGCAAGAACAGAAAACCAAACACTGCATGTTCTCACTCATAGGTGGGAACTGAACAATGAGAACACTTGGATATAGGAAGGGGAACATCACACACCAGGGCCTGTCGTGGGGTGGGGAGAGGGGAGAGGAATAGCATTAGGAGATATACCTAATGTAAATGACGAGTTAATGGGTGCAGCACACCAACATGGCACATGTATACATATGTAACAAACCTGCACATTGTGCACATGTACCCTAGAACTTAAAGTATAATAATAATTTTAAAAAAAGAATGGAGAAGACAGAAGAGAATTTACAATGTGTTACACAGGAAGTAAAAGCAATAGACACAGGACACTTTAGAGAGAGATAATAAAGAAGCAAGAGAGAGAGGAAAGAAATAGAACAATGGAGAGAAAGAGGCTGGAAAGAAGGGAATTGAGGGAGCTCAAATTTCTCAGGAAAACAGGAAGTGAAGTTCTTTGCAGTATAAAGGGTCAAAGAAGGACAACTCAGCACCGAAATGGAGTGAAAATGTGTGGAGCAGGTCCTGTGGGGAAAGGGGGAATTTTCCTCATTAATCATTTTTATAATCATTGTTTTTATTATATCTGATTTACTATATCATGGGAGTTGGCTTTTCATCTTTTTTGTTATTTCAAGGCAATAAAATGAGCTCATCCTATTGTTCATTTGTCCATCATTCATTTGTGTGAGTAAAGAGGAGGGAGAGAAACAAACATCTGCCATTGTTTCTATTTCCACAAAGCAGGGAGATGTTCTACTTTTCCAAAGAGCATCTACAGGAGATACACTTGCAGCTTCTCCCTGACATCTGTCTTCCCCAGGAGATTGAAGAACAACTTCACTGATGGACAAATTTGGAGGAAGAACTGAGCCTGCCGACTTAGTCCCTTGCTCTCTCTCTCTCTCTCTCGCTGTCTTCCAAACTCATTCTGTCACCAGGATGCCCATGCTGTCCTCCTCCTGTGCCTGTGCAGTGCTGGCCATGACAGAATTGTTTAGGAGTAAAACTCTTACCTGCCCAAACTTGACTCCAAGTCCATGAACTGTAGTTTAAACAAGTCAAAAATCAAAACTCCCTTTTCCCTCTCCTAAGTTCTAAATAAATTGAGAAATAAGATATAGGATTTAGAGAGAAGGAAATTAAACATCAGCACAGAGCTGACATGATCACTCTGAGTCCCTGCTAGTCCTCCTCTGTATTAAATATTCCACCCCTTCACAGCCTTTCCTGCTGAGGCTGCTGCTTACTTCATGGCAGGAAAAGAGGAGAATGTCAAACTACACGTGCTCAATGCTTCACCCAAATCCACTAAGAAGTCATTCTTTTGTCTCTGGAAATGAGTGAACAAAGGAAATGGAAAGAAGCTAGAATAAAAATAATAACCAATAATAATAAAAGCTAACATCCATTGAGCACTTACTCAACCCTAATACCTTTTATGTCCCAGGCTCAACCCTAAATATATTGTATGAATTCGCTTAACCATCAAAACAGTCCAATGAAGAAAACACTATCATCATCCTCATTTTGCAGATGAAGATGTTAAGATATAGAAAGGTGAAGAAACTTTCCCCGGCTCCGAAAATGGAATTCTGCTTAGACAGATGATCAATTAGTCAATATCTAGGATACGGCCAGAATACAGACAACCCAAAGTTAACTATAAAACAGAATAGACCTATACACTTTGCAATCCTACTTTTTTCAGTGAAAGCATTCTTTCATCGTTGTAACATACTCCCTTAGATTTACATGATTCCTTGAATATTGTAATTTGTATTACAAACAGAGATAAGTGTATGAAATTGTGAAATCATAACATGTTATAGCTGCAAAAACTTTGAGGTTCATCTATTCAAAATTCTTTCTTTAGAGATGAGAAAGCAGCAGTTCAAAGCAGTTAACTTACTTGCCCAAAGGCATACATCTAGTTGCACAGAGATATGCCCTGAACCTCATTCACGAGATCTCCCAAGGGATTTTTTAAATTATATCATCATCAATATATAAATCAATTGATAAGCTGAATTAATAGAAAAGCAAGCAGACAACTATTAGCATGGCATTTTCATTGCTGGAAATATTTATCTTCTATAGAAATTAGATTGATTCAATTCTTTTCTAGTTGCTCTGACTTAAAATATTGCTTTCCTTATAAAAATATATTTGGAAAAAACTAATGCATTGGCTAGAGGTACAGACAAGTAAATTGGAATAGATGTTAGGTGCTGCAGAGAGCCCTGTGTTGAGGACTGTTCAAAGTTTTGTATTCTCTTTTAAAACTCTGGATGCTCTTGCTCTGTGATACATCTGTTTCTGCTCAACAGGCAATAAAGGGAGTCTCCAAAGTAAACCTGAACAGAGTTCTCTCTCCATCTGTCAGAGGAAAAGCCCAAGAGCATGTTTTGCCTACAGAAGGACAAGGCTCTCAGCTGGCTCCAGAAAGGCATTCTGTCTGTGCAGATGTGCAGGATAAGGAAAAACAGCTTTTTTTTTTTTTTTTTTGGTTAATGACAATAGAATGTGGGGTTTTTAAAAATGAAAATGACAAAGCAGTTTTAAATCCTTAGTTTTTATATTACCTTTTCCATCAAACTCAAAATGGTTTACAATACACATGCGAAATAACATTTAATGTGCCCAATTCTGTGGCTATCCAAGCTCCAAGAACCTCAGAGGTGGGAAATCAATGAGACCATCAGCTTTAGAACTTTATGTTTCAAAGTCCAGTGTTTACACTAAAGATTACCAAGTCATGCTGTTTCTCATTTCTCCAAAGTGTTTAAAGAATCATCTGCTTAAAATTAGTGGCTTGCCTCAGTCCTTCAGATCCCTCTTTGCTATGTATAAATCCCACAGGGACTTGTTGCTAGGCATAATGCTTTCAAATGACCAGGGTGGGGATAGAGGAGGGGCGTGATTGTTAACCAAGTCTTGCTATAAACAAAATTACCTGCTGACTTCTTGAGGAAGCTGCATAAGATGATTGTTGTTCAGATTAAGCAGTATTAAATTTTGTAAGCCATCTGTTAGAAAAATAATTTTAGTCACTTTAGCCATCTGTTAGATCATTTTAGTCACTTTCTACTTTTCCACATACCTTTATTTTCCTTCTGGTTATTGCCTTGGCCAAGGCTCTTTTGGTGGTGGTAACAGAAACCCTCTTAAACTAGCTAAAGCAAAAAGGAGTGATTTATCGCAAAGTTACAGATCTAACTCACATCACTGTGCCTGAGGAATGAGGATGCAACTAGGCTCATCACAAACTGGAATCAGAGGCTAAAAGGCACCCAGAACCTAAGAATGTACTGTCTGAATATCTCTGCAGAAAATATAGTTTAGTTCTTCATTACAGCTTCTCTCATTTTCGTATTTATAATATCTTACTCGCACTCTCTTTCCTCCCTCCATTCTCTCTTTTGAACATGTTTGCTCTATTTTTCTATGTACTCATAACCATATTACAACTTCTGAATTTGAATGTTCACAGACAGGGAAGACAGAGCTTTCAAACTCGCTTGTCCACAGGAATCAAAATGATAATCCCATGCCATGTCAGACAGGGCCACCACCATTCAGCCAGCTCTGGCAATTGTTATATGGGAATGCAACTGCAGTGTTGCTAAATCTTTCTTTTTTAAAACAGATTTTTTAAAAGAGCCAGAGATCCAGACTTCTATGTGAACTCTCCTGATTTGAAAACATGAGCACCTAATTCAAAGATTTTTAAAGGCCAACAAAATAGAATCAATTTATTTATGAACCAGATTCAGCCCATGGGCCACCAGTTTGCAACCTCTGCCTAAGGTCATGTAATTATCTCAAACCAATTAAACTGTTTTAGACTCTATCACAATTCCCCAGAAAGAGAAAATATGACAAGCTTAGTTTGGAATACAACTCCAGCCCTGATCAATCTGCTCTGGTCAGGGAAACAGGGTCATGTAATGCAACAAGGTTGTTCAGACCCATGCTGGGCAGCATTAAACTCCCTGACATCAAACTACTTCTGACCTTCAATCATCAGGACCTGACATAGTACATAACTTAGGTCAATCACATGGGATTTTCAAAGTTCAACAACCCCAAATCAAGAATGTTCCCAACTCAAAGAAATGGTAAGTGTTTGAAATGAGAGCTATGCCAATTATCCTGATCTGATCACTATATATTATATGTATCAAAATATCACTATGTACTCCATGAGTATGTACCATTGTTAACTGTCAATTAAAAAAACAATTATTTTTAAAAAATATAGACACTAAAGACACTCAAGAGCACTCCAAAAAATTTTTACATACATATATAAAATATATCTATATAGATATAGATACAGACATACATATACCTAACTTATCTCAAATTTAAAGGCAACATGATAGAAAATTCCTTATAGAGCCTTAATTAGTATAAATTAGTATGTTCAATATTGTTTATGTATATCAGGTTGCACTTACATTTGTCCCCTCAGTATAGGTCATAAAATATTATTATCTATTGATTTGCATGACCTTAACACTTTTAGTGTAAACTGTTTTCTTCCAAGGTAAATTTGTAACTGAATTCTGGTCTATGGCTTTGCATATATAATGTGTTCAAGTATCAATAATTGTTCGTTACATCTATTATTTTGGAAAAGAATATTTTTCCAAGATATATGACCTAAGATTTTAAAGTACCTTTAAAAAGACAGTACTAGAGTCTACTTGTGCTATTTGCCAAATATAACCCCTAATTTATTGCTGCATGTGGTAATGCGGTTAATAAACTCTGTGTGAAGATTACAATGATTATATATAGCACCTGTGCCTCAAAAGTTCATAGAAATTTATAAATTTTATAATATTTCTCTAGTTTTACTACTAAGGACCAACACAGAAAGTGGTGAAGTACCTTGCATTAGTTGATAAAGCTATAAAAGCCATCTAGATCGCTTTGTCATACATTTGTCCTTAAGCCCACTCTAGGAATATTAAATAAGAATAGCATCATCTTGAATGGAGAAATTATTACTTAATGGGAAAAAGAAAGAAAAAAATGCTACTTACTGGATCTCATATATTTTCTTTAAAATTTTCCCCAAATTGATTTAAATTTAGTATCTTGATCAAAAAGTGTGACTTAATATCTAAGACAGAATAAAAAGTGAAAAGAACAAAGCTACGGTAGAGCTTTACTTGATTTGACTTTCCAATAGAATTATCTCTGGCTCGGGAAAAGAGTCCCCAGATTCACGATCTGACTTTATATTGATTCTACAAAGAGGAAAATTCATTAACACTGATGCTTACTTATTTTCTTAGGTCTACATGTAAATAAACATATGATACAATACTTTTTTTAAAAATGCTGTCTCCTCCTATATTTCTTTTTTTTTTTTTTTTTTTTTGAGATGGAGTCTCGCTCTGTCGCCCAGGCTGGAGTGCAGTGGCCGGATCTCAGCTCACTGCAAGCTCTGCCTCCCGGGTTCCCGCCATTCTCCTGCCTCAGCCTCCCGAGTAGCTGGGACTACAGGCGCCCATCATCTCACCCGGCTAATTTTTGTATTTTTTAGTAGAGACGGGGTTTCACCGGTTTAGCCAGGATGGTCTCCATCTCCTGACCTCGTGATCCGCCCATCTCGGCCTCCCAAAGTGCTGGGATTACAGGCGTGAGCCACCGCGCACGGCCATTCCTCCTATATTTCAAGAGTAGTATGTAAATACCTCCCACAAAAAAAAAGACTAAACATGCAAAATTCTTTTTCATTTCAGTTTCATATTATTAAATATGAGAGATTAAATTTGATGCTATAATGTTGCTCCTTGTTGACTAAATTACCACAGGCTCCAGGTGCAAATCTGCAGATCCTATTTCCAGATAAATGGAGAGTCTTCAGAGATGTAAGATATTTAATCTCTTCCGGAACTTCTTCTAAAAGGTTGTTTCCCAGATTTAGTGTTGTCAACTGCAAACATATGGAGGTTTAATGGACTCATGTATTATCCAACTTCAAATGAAAAAAAGAAATAATTTAAGCCCCCTTGCTCAGATCTATGTAACCTAAGAAAACTTCAAAATATTTTAAACAATTATTTCACTTATACCTAAAATTATGTTTATAAATAAAGTTCATTTGAGCTTCATGCTCACTTTATGTTAATTAAAACACAATTTAATTTTTAATTAGAGCAGTTAAGTTCATTAAAATTATATTACAAACCATCCCAAGGATATGTAAAACCACAATTTATAAATGGATGATCCATTTATAAATCATTTGAGCAACTTAAGAGTATCCGCAACTTAAGAGTATCCGAACATAGAAGAGTATCTATGTGACCTATAGAATCAAACTATTAAACACTCAGCAAAGGAACTAAGTTACTGAAAACAGAAACAGAGCCAAAGATCTGAGGTCCTCCTGACATACTATTCTCAAAGGAGCTATCTCATGTAGGCCAATAAGACCACTCTATTACATGTATACAGCCTCAGGAGGGCCTTTAACTTTGATGTCACTCTGTATGATCACAAAATTTAGAAAAGAAACTATTGAAATGGTATAATGAGGGTAGACAAGATCTACCCTACAGTTATCTGTCCTACAGAGAACAGATTGGTCAGGCCCAGGAAGAACTCCACATAAGGGGAGTTAAAAAGTTCCTCCTTGATGTTGTAATCCAATAAATCAGTGACAGGATTGTTCCCAAAAATATAGTAATATTCTTTGTAAAATCTAATTGTACTTTCCAAAATACAAAGAGTCTTTTATTTTACTCCCAAACATAATTTACTATTCAGGTTTAATTACCAATTGCATACTTTAGAATTTTAATAGTAAGGCCAAATAAAAGGAATCTTGGAAGTTTTAACAAACTAATGAATTTACATAAAACCAAAAAAATTAAGAAGAAAATTTAAGCCATTTATATTTAAATGTCACCTAGTACTTGTTATGGATATAAGACAATGATTTAAATTAATACAAAGAAATACACATTGATATTAAAATGAAATTTCTCATCCTAGGAATTCATGGTAAAGTTTTCACTTGCATATGTGCTTTTGTCTGAGAATTACCATTATCCTAATTTATAATAGTATAATACATCTACTACCATGTTGGAGGTCTTCTTCTATTGTAAATGTGAAGTTAAAATACATTCATGTAGCTATTTTATCCAGAGTCTGTAACTGCATTGGTTTCCCACAACTGCTATAAAAAATTACCACAAATTTTGTGGCTTAGAACAACACAAATTTATCTTGTATTTCTGGAGATCAGAAATCAGAAACAGTCTCACTGACTAAAATCAAGCTGGTGTTCATTTCTAGAAACTCCAGGGGATGATCTGTTCGCTTGCCTTTCCTAACTTTCAGAGTTGGCCTCCATTCCCTGGCTTATATGCCCCACTTGTACCTTTAAAGTCAGTAGTGGCTGGTTAAGTCTTTTTCAAATCACATCACACTAATGCTGACTCTTCCACATTTAAAAACCCTCATAATTACACTGGGTCCACCTGGATAATCTAGTGTAACTTCCATTCTCCAGGTTAGCTGACTATCCACCTTACTTCTAGCTGCACCCTTAATTCCCCTTTGTCATATAACCTAACACATTCAGAGGATCGGGGGATTAGGTGTGGTCATCTTTGGGGATCTATTATTTGCCTATGAAAGTGACTATTTGAAGTCTCTCCCAAAACGAGGTAGATTTCATTCTTTTGCCTAAATTCAGTGAAACACGCACAGCAGTCTAGTAGTACTGAGAGCCCAAGAAAATCTCCATGAGGACTGGCAAGATATGCAAGAATGTGTCAGGCATTGTGAAAGGTCCAAGATTTTACCCAGTTTACAAGCTAACAAGTAAACCTGCCGCAGTTTCATGAATGCTGGTAGAAAACATGAGATCCCTGGGAAAGATAAAAGGGATCGTTTATTACTTAGAGCAATAGCAGTGTCCAGAATATTACTATTTTTGCACTGAAAATGCAAAGAACACAAAGAGATACCTAGATGTGAAGTAAGCTGTGTTACTGAACAGGAACAATGAGTTTAGGGACCCTGAATCTTTTATAATAGGCAGTAACCATGCCCTTCAGTCCAGAGGAAGATACTATTTCTAATCTCCAAGGCCGTCTGCTATGTAATTATACTGGAAAAATTGGTCCAAAACAAAGCCAGTCAGTGCCTCTGTTTACAGAATGTGCAGAAGTGTGAGACTCATGGTGAATTATCACCTAAAAAAAAGGATGGTAACATATATTTTTAAAGTAAACAAGAAACAGCTTGTAATTTCCCACACTATCGATGCTTTTCTGTGTATTTCTGAGGGTATATACCGTACAGTGCTCATTTTGCATGTTATGTGGTAAGTTCTTACATATGAGTTAGATATATTTTTGTCATTGTGTTTTACAGAATATAAGGGTCTGGCCCAGATATATGAAGGTACATAGTAACTAGATTTCATCGTATGTCAAAAGGAAATCACAGATTATAATCAATCTTGACTGTAAAGAAGGGTGGGTTTCAGTTTTGGTTTTGTTTTTGTTTTTTTGTGGGTTTTTTTGATGCTTAGAAATATATCCATAAACAAACAGTTTTAAATATGCAGTCTAAACTGCACAGAATATGTATTCTAAGTGAATACATATATCTTAAAGCAGATGGGTCGCCATTCATTTATTCACTCATTAAAAAATATTCATTGCGTGCATAAGACATGTAACATCTTTGCCCTCAAGGCACTTACACAGTAAGAAAGTAACCATCCAATGACTACAAATGGCTAAACAAATTAATACAAGAATAACAGACAGTGTTAAGTGTTCTAGAGACAATTTAAAGAGTGAGGAGAAAGTGATTGATCAGGAGAACCTGTCTTAGAAGTTGATATATAGACTGAGATCTGAGTGACAATAAGGAAGAAGAAATGGTCAAAATAAAGACCCCAATGGAGGCACATTCTTGGTGTGGTTGAGGAGGCTAGGAGATGCAGCTGATGTGGCTGAGTACTGTAGGTAGAGGAACACTCAGCCAAAAAAGAAGTTGGAAAGGTATACTTGGGCCAGATTACATATGGTTTCATAAACCAGGGTAAGGGGTTGGGATTTTACTCTAAGTTCAGTGAGAAATGACTGTAGGGTTTTAAGCATATGTGTAACATTATTTGACATGTGTTTTAACAGGATCATCCTGGCATCTGTACAGCAGAATCTGCAGGGGCAACAAGAAGTGAAACACAAAGAGAACGCAGAGGCAATACTGCAGTGGTGCGGGCAAGAGGCAACGGCTTGAGCTAGGTAGTGGGTGGTGGACCTGGAGAGAGGTGGATGGGTTTGGGATATACTTTGGATGAAGAGCCAGAATGTTGTATGATGTAAGATAAATAGAAGATCATGAATAACACCTAAACTTGGAACTTGAGCACCTGAGATGGGGAAACTGGGACAAGTGCAGGTTTGGAGGAGGGACAAGGAATCAAGAGTTTAGTTTTATCCAAGTTAAAATTAAGAAGCCTTTTAGATCTTTAAATGACAATGTCAGGTAGGAGTTGTAAAAGTAATTCTAGGGTTTTCTGGAGTAATCAAGAACACAGAATCAATTTGTGAGCCTTCAGTAAGTAAAAGGCATCATGTGGGATTGTAAGAGATGAGAATGTGAGCCCAGCAGAGGAAGTGACTGAGGAGTGGCTGAAGTAGAAGGGAAAGATAGGCCACTTAAAGCAACTGGTACACCACATCCCACAGCTGAGCAGTGCTCCATTCGCAGCTACCATGAATTTATCCTATGAGGACTTTCTTCTGCACCCTTCCTGGAAGAATTTCCCTTAACTGCAAGGAAGTGCTTTACCTGGAATGTTGTGCCTCTGCTCCATCCTCCCAGACAGCTGCTAGACCATGACAGATGCCAGGACATAACAGCCCAACCCCTTTGCCTCTGTGCTACAGGGCATGCCCCAAAGCTCTGAAGGGATTGGGCTGAAACTACATTTCTCCTGGAACCACCTCTTTATTCAGGTTCTTTCCCTGCCCTGTCCAGATTCCCTCACTCCCAGACAGGTTTCTTCTGAGAGAAATGCCTCAATATTACAAAAATCTTATGTTTCAGGATTTCCAAGATATATAGTGTAACAGAATCCAAGGGAAAAGCAAAAGAAACAAAAAAGTATTTTAAGAAGGAAGATTTGGGACATATCCCAGGGGAAGACTAAATAAAATTAAAGCATAGAAATAACCACTGGATTTAGCAATCGGAAAGTGATTAGTGACCTTGAAAATAGGGGTGAAGTGTTGGGGAAGAAAGTCTGATTGAAGTGGGCTGTGCAGAAAATGTGAGAAAGCAGAGACAATGACTAATAGACAATTATTGTAAGAACTTTTGCTATAAAGGGATACTAGAAAATGAAGAAGTTGGAGTTTCCCCCTGGCCCAAGACAAATGATAGATTAGCTTATTTATGTGCTGATGGAAATAACCCTGTAAGGATTAGAAACTCATGCCTTAAATATGGGGATACTCACAGAATCAAAATCCTTTAGAAGATGAAATAGGTACAAAGTTCAAGTGGGTGCTGGCCTTAGATAAGAGTAAGGGCTCTTCATCAAGGGTAGTAGGAAGGAAGGTAAGAAAGGGTGAGTGAGGATCAGATAAGTAGATGAGTTTGTGATGAAAACATGAGAGAGTTCCTAAAGGATGGTGTCTGTTTTCTCAAGGAAATATGAAACAAAGTCATCTGCTGAGAGTAAGAGATTAGGAGGTTTGAGGAAAAGGAAAGGGTCACTTTGAAAGGCAATCTAGGCAAATGTAGTAGGGTGAGCAACAACCACAGTTGATTATCTCATCCCACTTAGCTCCCAAGATATTGTAAAATGGATAGATGACCTGGGAAAAGACATTTTATCTGGATAATGCATTAACTACATGGTCCTTTGACTGGAAAAAGTTACCATGTGAAATTCTG